CACCAATGTTCACCAATGTTATCTGCCGGCTGACAAAGTTATGTATATATATATGTATATATATATATATACATATATATATATATATAACTGTCGACCTCTAAACAGAAAGCACACCCGTGCTCACTTTTCCTTGACTAACCTAATGCATTTAATTAAGTCGATTGGTTTGTCCATTAGTACTCTGTCTCTAGTCCAAGTTTATTCTACTGGCAGAACACATGTCAAAAGGTTTCTGCGGAAAATGTTTGACTCAATACCGGTTAAATAAGAGGTGCTCCCCAGAGTAGTAATGTCCCCGTTTTTGTTCTCTTTCCAAATGCAAGACACCCACTGAGCCAGACGATCATCTTATCAAGTATGCTTACGAATTCACCACTGGGTTCCATATTGCGAGGTGATTTCTGTTTTTCGCAGCATCAAATCACTGTATCTGTCGAAAGCTTATGGTTTATGTATTCCAACAAATTTGTCAACGCTTCTAAATGAAGGGATGTCACCTTCTCACCAGCGAAAGGAGTATGACTGCATTGTCTACAAAGAAACTTCTTTGTACCAAAATTTGGTAACCAGTTTGGTCAGACAGTAAGTGATTTACCTACCTTGATGGTGCTATCTGCCAAGATCTCACCCGAAATGCACACTGCAACTATACATTTAAAAATAATCGAGGATCGGTTTTCCTTATTTCCCAATTTCTTTATTTAATCGTTCCACTGAATTTACCCATTCGTTTCGCATATTCTTGTGTTGTCTTTCAACTTCTTCACTAATCTTCAGCATGTTTGCCGGTTGTTGAGTCAAACACTACGCAATTCTGCATCAATCTTGTAAAATTATTTCACGCACACGCGCCGTTTCCTGTTCATACTTGATGAACGTTATCGTCGACGATCAGCTTACCCGTTACGAAACTTCCTGAAACAATGTTCTACGAGACATCACTCACTCACTGCGCACATAACTTAAACAATGCGTATCGACGCCCGTAAGCAGGTGACATTATCAACTTGTGCATGCGCGGACCACTGTCTACCGTCTGTTATCCCGTATCTTTCCAGCTTTCTGCCACAGAAAGCATCCCTCGGAGACAAAGTTTTACAAACACTAGGCAAATGACATCCATTTTTACATTTTTACGCCACTTTAATCTTCAATGTACAATGCCGTACTTTACTTTTTCTCTGTAATTGTATTCGATGATGATGTGCGCTGAGCGGCTTAATGAAGTAATTCGTGATCTGACTCGATTCAACTTGATTAAATCCGCCACTCGAGCAGAGTAGAACCGAAAACATCCAGTCAACGCGAAACAACGGTGAGTTGTATAGCTGTTTTGTAGAGTGCGCACACCGGGTGAAAGATTCCAGTTGATGGAATTGTGTTCCTAACTGAGATGCAACAAAAAGTGATAGTCTGTTCGATGTTTGTCGGTGGAACACGAGAAATAGATCCAAGTGAAACTGAAACACATACGGACGACGAAACCACTAGCAACCGGATTCGTATCAGTGGGGATGAGGTCCTCGAGGAAGACACCACAGTGAAACGGTATCACGCGCTTCGTGTGAGGTGAGTGCTTCTGGTTCGGTACTCCATTCTACACGTAGCAGTGAAAACGTGATAGTAGAACATGTACAAACAGTAAGATCAAAATAGACTGTCCTCCCGTACTTTTCGGTTGGTTGCTTTTATCTGGAATGGAAATCGGATAGTTTCATTTTATACGTAGCTTGTGGGTGAAACATATAAATGTTGTCTGAATTCAAAAGATCTGGTAAACGATGAGACAAAGTTTCATCGCTGTGCACTCTCACAGTTTACTTGATTTTTAAAGTTATGGCCAGCCATATGCATCCCCATGTTAAGACTAGGAACTCGTCCGTTTTTACTCGCTCTCAAACTGTGGTTATTATTTACAACTGTTTTAGTTCAGTGTTTTGCTTCTTACAAAGATTGTCGGTGCACAGAGGTGCGGTGGTTCTCGTTGTTTCCATCCAGTTCCTCGTTTAATCGGTCAGTGACGGAATGTTCCATTGAACAGCACCAAGCTAAGAACATATTCAAGATTAAAATATACAAGTCAGTTCAAGCAGATTTGCTGCCTAGAATCGAAATGGATGCACGCTTGTCTGGGCTTACCAGCCACAGCCATATCATCAAATGTTTATGACCATCGACTGTGTCAGTTACGGGGATCTCGACCCTGTGACCGCAATGATCGGGATCTCTGATCAGTTTGTGTTGATGCCCATCTGGCAAAGCTTTGGGGCAGTGTTAGTTGAATTGGTTCCGACACTATCTGGCTTGTTACACATTGCGCACCAGGCAGATGCAATACACATGCACCAACCACAGTGAGCTATGATGGTGAAGCACTAGTACTAGTTTACAATGATGATAACCTAAAACTCTGCACCTGATCTCCTGATTGATGGCTCGGTTATTTTACCTGTCCGAAATCCCTTGGTATGAGATCACTCGCCTCCTTTAACCAGAATGGTTGCACACTGGATGGATAGTCGCGTAACACAATCGGCCTTCAGCGAGCGACCGAATGTGGTGAAGTCGGCCAAAAACTGTCGAGCTATACACCCGGATGCGGATTCTGCTCTGGAAATTTTGTCTACGAAAGGAATGTGTTCATTCAACAGTGAGACTAAGGTCGGAAGTATGTTCGATGCATCCTATGTGCTAAAACCCCTTCTAAACCAGCGTGAAGCTCGCTCGTGTGAGTGGTTCGCTTTCATTTAAACGAAATCNGAAAACTCGGCTACAATCCGATCTTCAAAACATGTCACTTTTATGGCTGCTCTGTGTAGGCTGGTGCACCAGCATGAGGGTCCATTCATTAGAACCATCAGGGGAATTTTACCGTTAATTTTCACTTCAGTTCACCTAATAAACACACAGACAGCTCTGCGAGAATCCTTCACCGAGTACACATGCTTAGATGGAGAAAAGTGGCTACGAGGTTAGATCTGGTCAACACGAAGCAAAATGACATATGATATACAAGTATTTTGGAGAAATTGGATAGGTTTAGAATGACAGCTTCCAGGATTCCAGTTTGTCAGTTGATCAAATACCCGGTGCGTGTACGTTAATGTTCTATCCAGTACAAGTACAACAGGGAAGCTACTTTATGACGGTAGGAAAAACAAATTTAAGCAAATACTAACTCACTCGTGGTTTTTTCTATCACACTTTCAGTGGCCGTATTCATTTTTCCCGCCTGGATACGAGGCTTAGTGTGCTTGGTTATTCTACTTTGCAGTGCACTTTCTGGATGACGACGGTCTGAAACAAACGGAAATCAGTCGAATACACATATGTGTCAGTTAATAACAGGCGGCGGAAGCGTTAAATGCTTTATTTAATACTTTTATTTAAAAAGGTGCTTACGGCCAGTTTACTAATCGTCGTGACTGTTTGATTAGGGCTGGGTTTTCTCGGTCAGTCAAACGGACGGACTCTCAGGATGGGACGCATTGCTCTAACCAAAACTATTTCCACAATTTCATGGGTACAAACTCTCCACTGTTTCAAACCTCGATGGGACGTAATAATGGAAGCATCCGCATTATAGGAAATGATTTGACAATCGACTAGTGTGTGAGCCGTATGGGAACCAACATAGGATACTGAGTACTTGGTGTTGGAAGCAGATACATTCCAAACACTATAACCGAATATAGCTCAATAGGCACGACACTAATGGAATGTGAAATTTTATCGGTGGCCTAATGTTTGTTTGAAATTCATTACTGGTAGCCGGGTACTTGTGTGGTACAACATTACCCAGTCTGTACCCACTGCGTAACTTATCTGGTCTGAAATGGCCAGCGGACAAGCGAAGTGTGAGGTAAACACCGAACTTGTCGAACCTCAAACACAGCCAGTTTACTGGTTGTGCATTTTCTAAATGAGCCACCAACCTCACCAGTTACCAACGGTGCGTATATAGGTTTCCAGTGAACAGAAATTATCCACATCAATTTAAACGATTGGTCTGAGTTGTGGTGAAGGATATTATTAAAATAGAACATCACGATAGATTGATAGAAAAGCACGATAGATAGCTAGATAGATTAATAGGTGGATAGGTAGATGGATAGATACATAGATAGATAGATCAAAGGATGGATAGATAGATACATAGATGAAAATACTCAGTGCTGATTACTTTAATTATCAGCTTGTTTGCCAACTATCGTCCTATGAACTATTGCTCGGCTTTACGTTTTTTTGGATGTGAGCAATCTTCGAGAAAACGTACCAAACAAATGGATATACAAATGACAACAAAGGAATTTCTGGATAGATAGAAACTTACTATTCAAACGAATATTAACCACCCTCCAGTCTTCGTTTGATTCACTGGTCTCCTGTTCGGGTTTGTTCACGATTGTTTGAATTCGGGCGATTGTTGTTCTCAGCTTGGGTTGTGCAACATCTGAAGATGATACAAATTGGCTGAATCGTATTTGGTATTTGTCACCGGAGATAATTTGGGGTAATGAACAATGAATCACACAACGTTCACGGTAGAGAGCATTGTTTTCCGACATCTGGTCATCGGAAAAATACCCCGAAAAACTATTTATACATGTGTCAAAAGTCAGTTCTCCAGGAAATGCTCTCAATACATTTTCTTTAGTCCACTGGACACGAATCACATTTGTGAAGGGACTCACAGGCGTTTATGTGTAAATTTGAACCAATCAGATTGTTCGTCTGGCAAAGTACGGACCGATTAAAAGAAACACCTGATGCCATTAAACAAAAGATTAATTCAAAAAACACTTTCCAACACAGTGTGTATCTGTAATCATTATTTTTATTGGTCCTGTGATAGATAAACCTAAATAAATGTGGTGACCTCTTGTAACCATAACCTGTGTGTAAACATTCAGGCCCTGTATGGACACTCGGGTGTCAGTAGACCATGACCCATTTGTCTGAGAAGCTTTCAAAGTTTGAGCTTCGCCTGACCTTACTTATTCTGATGGCTTTTCAGGCTTCTGAAGCTCGTAAATTGCCGCCGGTTTATCGGATTGTGTAGGATTACCTGCTGGAGAAAACGAATCAATTGTTAGTTGTTGCTGTGATTCCTGACTCGATCAAATGAGAAAGATTATTTGATTGCGAGTCAGTACAGGGAAACAGACAGCGAGAACTCGCTCCTCACGATAAAAACGAAACCAGGTGCAGTAGCAAGGCAACCGATGAAATTTATCCCCGAACTGCTTTTACTGGAAGAAACACGACGTCAATCAACTGTCATGTGAATAAGTTTAATGCCGAGTGATTTTCGATGTGGGATTGATAGATCGCACTGTTGAAGAAATCAGACTCTACCCTTTGAGCTTTCCCATGGATGATGTATGCAATATTTCTCATTATAGTAGTTAATGAAGTCATTTTTATGTTCATTTAACCTGCAATTTCTGGGTCTGCAAAATGTCAATCACATAGACCAACTGTTTTGAATGTGTAATTTTCTCTTTTCACTTGAGCGTCAAGTCACGAAATACGATCAGATCAGATCACATAAAGGGTCTGAGGGAATTTTCTTGAGAAGGACGTGACGATCGTGAACGATGGAGCAATTGTATTGTATGTCTTGAAGTGCTTTGACGAATGTCCTAACCCAATTACCTTATAAATCAAGGTTTGTATATTATTTATCATGTCATTACTTGATTCGTATCAATAGTACCGTATCACCAGACGGTTTTCGTTGCACTGGAAACGGGACTTTGCGCATCACTTGCAGCCAGGTTTAACACGGGAGGTTAGACTAATCTAATTCCGCAGAAAAAGAATTAACAATGGATAACCATTCAATAATGGAAAACGAAAATGGAATGGTAAAATATTACGTAAAATTATTTTGTCTAATCCTCGTTACCTTTCTTTGTTCTGCTGTTCGGAAACTGTAACCTCGAATCACTGTGCCGCAGGACTGTGTCGTTTCATGTAGGTTCACCTGAATCATATTGACAACTGTTTCCTTTCTTCTTAATTAAGACCCGGTAAAGGCTCAAAGTTATCTCAGTAACTGCACTAATTTGCCGAGCACCTGGAATTTCACATTCCATCCCCAATTCCTTTTGAGTGGTGGTGTCGGATGTTTGATATGGAGTTGAACTGATTATCCTTCTGGTTCGCACAGTGGTAACACACACACATCCCGTCCATCTCACGGGTCCGGAATTCCAAACCCGGACGGGACGGTAGGTAGGCAATACTGATGAGCTCCAATAAGAGCAAAACTTAAGTCTAGTGGTTCTTTCCAGTGTATGTTGACTGGATGAACTGAGAAATGTGCGTCATGCTGTGCAAAAACCGAAGCGTAAAAAGAAAAAACGAAGTTTTCTCAAACAGGAACTCACCTGGATTTACTTCTTCTACACCAGCAATAAACTCATTCAATGGTGTCTGATTGATAGGGCGTTCATCATTCTCACCTCCTGGTATTAATAATTTGATTACTGCTGAAAAGAATGAAAATTATTCCAGGTTGTAGATAATTAGACAAATTTTGCTTTTAAAATAAGCAGAAGTGAATTTTCTGAGTATTTCAAATTTAGGAATTGGACGAGATTCAGTAACGGATAGTATTCTCTCAATTCAAGTGCAACAAGTACCTGTAAAATTACAACAGCAACTTTGATGGACGCTTCTAGTGTGAAAAGCGTTTATTACATTGATCCTCTCTGTTGTAGAGTTTATCTCGTCCGAACGCATAAACTAGACCCAAATCGACCTCCGATATGCTGTTTCCCCTATTTCCCAAGGAAGACGTTCATTGGATTTATTTAAATAATTAGTGTATAGAATTCTTAAAATAGAATTCAAAGTCACGTTATATGTCTGTGAGTTTCTCTGGATGATGATGATGATGATGAATCGTTACTCAGAAGTCTCGGGTTTGGGCCGCTCCATCGCTGCCCGTATTTCCCATTTCTGTATTTCCTTAGGCAGCCTTGAATGGCCGCAGTCACTTTCCAGAAAGTTGACTGTACATCTGCATATTCAATAAATAAAAAAGGAAGTAAAAAAACATTTTGTTCATTATAATTATAATTATAATGATGATGGAGATAATGATGATGATGACCAAACCTCCATCAGTCGGTGGTTCGGTTCTGTACACATTTTGTCCCTGTGTCTCCTTAGCCAAGGCAGTCTGATCAATGCGTGAACATACTACGATCGATGATGCCCCGTTTTCCGTGTTTGCAATTGGTTCCAGTCGGATTTCCTCAGTTTCTATTCGGAGTGTGTACACAACTCGAGGTGTAAAACTGTCCGTGAATACGGAATGACAAATACTGACCACCGAATTGTATACCGCACGGTAGTACTCAGTAAGCCTTGAATCACAAATTAGGCTCATATTCTGTCAACGAGGACTAAAGGACGCATCCTAATATCGATTTCATCGTTTGTTATTCGTGGGAAAATAATTTGAAAATATCTTCTTCCTATGAGCATTCTATAGTCAGCTTTGATTCAGCTGTGTAGAGGTAATACGTTTTCTCTTTAATGTATATGATCAAATGTAACAAATGTTTTAAAATTGAACAATTGGTTGGGAAAAGAAGCTTACGTTTTGTCGGACAATCTGCTAAGAGGAAATCTTCATGATCTGCAAAATAAAACGACAGGGACGACCGAATGATACAGAAAATTGACATGACCAAAAGTTAGAACTATTGAAAAATTAGGTTTATCTTTATTCCAATTACGACAAAATAAAAGTAACACTTAGTTCAACCCCAAACTGACTGAGTTTGTGCAATGCGCGAATCGACCGTTTTAACGCTGACAAAATAAAATACACGGCGTCACTCTATACACAATCTAGTTGAACGGTCACGGGACAACGGTTACTGATGTTCTACTTTCAATTCATCGGAATATCCTGACACGCTATGTAACTATTTTCACCTACTCGCACGGTTCCATTAGATCCCTATTCCTGTATCCCGGTTTCGGAAAAGAGAATGACAGTGGAAACGGATTACGACGGTCTGTTGACCGTTTCTGGTGGTTGCGTAACTGCGTACATGTGAACGGATAGCATGTGTCACGGTCATCAACCACTTTCATCAGGATGGATGCAATTGAAAAGGAAAAAATCTATTTGGCTAGAGTGAACTTATTGACTGAGTCTCACAAAACTTCATCTTTGCGAACAATATTCTGTTCATTCCATGAGCCATATCACTGTGCGATCCAGAAAGGTGGGTGTGTTGTCACTACGCTAACCATCTCACGTTAGAGCTGACCAGTTTCTCCGACCCCCTTTGTTCAGATGTCGTCCTCAAATGCAACTAGTCAGGTTATTGGGCCTGGTAGTAAACAAAGTTAACGGCAGTGACTATCAATGGATGAATAGTGATGTCCACGGATTCTCATTGAATCGGGTCTTCTATCCAGGTAGGGACAGTTTTGCCCCCAATAATCCGACAAAGACACCTTTCACTAATGTAGGGAACAATCACGATTCGCAGTGGCCTTATTGGGATTCGGTACTGCATCCTCCAACTGTATAATTTTGTGGTTTATCTAAACTACATGTCATATAACAATGTAGTTTTCAAAGTCCATCATCATATTCCAAATATTTTCTATAAACCATATGGGCTACCCGAAACTGTCTTTATTTCACCGAAATAATTTTGGACAATTTATTCTAACACTCACCGAAATCCATTGGAGCTGAGAATAAAAGAAGTAAGAGTTCAAGAAATCGTTACACAAAGCTGGGATTAAAGGTGAAACATTTACATTTATCATGTTGTCCTCTTGAAAGACAGCAACCGAAACCGGCGCACGAATGTGCATGGTTATTAGTTGTAAAAACTGAAACTAAAACTGAACCAAGGTCAGACATCTTGTGTGCATGTTGAATAGCAGTTGAAGTTTCAATCGTTGAGTCAAATAGTCATCTCATGACAATTATATACCCAAAGGAACCATATCTGCCCCTCACGGGGTCCACAGCTTGCTAAATGTCATCTTTTTATCCAAATGATGCATGTTGTGCCATGTGCAATTGTGGCGATCCAGACTTCTGTGGCCGCAATCCATGCACGGCCAGGTACAGTTTCATGTTATCCAATCTCCGTTCAGGAAGCTTGGCCAATGGTACACCAGGCGAACATGATATCCGAGTTGGTACATATGATGCGTCGACGCAAACCGTTACGTGATTGGAGGGCGGTCGTTCAGCTAAGCATATGGCCTATAATCTTCTGTAAAACATGTTCCAATTCCATCAATAACATAAGCATTTGCTGCTATCAATTCCTCTTGTATTTCATTTCAGTTCGGGTTGAAGTCAATCTATTTCTGATTAATACATTACGGATTCTCGTATTTCTACATCCAGCACAATTCCGATTATCACAGCAATGTACCGATTCGCATTACTTTCCTGACGTACTTGGGCTTGATTCGCCTCTCATCGTTCGAAACTTGAAGTGTACACATGTTTGCATTTGTCGGATATTTTCTTTTCCAATCATCATCACTACGTCGGGAAAGGCGATTTGAGAGTACTGTAGGAAGCCTTTTTCCAGGTCAATTTCGTGCAGTTTTATGCTTGTCTGACGCACTTTCTGCAGTATGTAACATGTTGAGGTGGAATGAAATCGTCTTAGACATAAATCGTTCAATGTGGCAATATAGTCTTTTTTGTGGCATATTGTCATTGTTTTTTTTCAACTCCCTTCTGAGTTCCTCTCAGTCGAAACTGCTCAAACCATTTTTACTAACCAGTAATGATTGTCAAACGGAACTGTTGCGTTGTAATTCGCTCCCAACACCACACCCGCACACATCCGTTCCGTACAATCTACATCTACTCAATTCGAGTAGCCTTGTTGCTCTTGATGGTAGTCAATGTTCTTCAACGTGGGAGGTGGCAGTAAAAGGCAATATTAACTGGCTTTAATCCTCCAATATGCGATATAATGTTCCGTTTAGTTCAGATTCATTGAATCTATAAAGTGCTGCTGCATTTGTCAACGTGAAATCCGCTTTCAAATGAACTTTAGCAAACTTCTAATTGTCATTTTAAGGCATTGTCTCTCTGCAACATAATTCATTCAATCTCGACGAACTGTGTGTGTGTTGTGCGGGTGGATAATGCATTTCGTTTAAAATATAGCATTTCACAGAGTTGGTGACAATTGTCAAATTTTCCGCCTTAACTTGGTTTGCTTAGCTCTTGAAATATAGTTATAATCCTTCGCACTGACTTCAATGGCACGTCTGCAGCTCAGAGAGATGATGAATGCGGCATCATTTATGCGAATGTTTGCACTAGAGCACAGTGCCTCAGTTGTTACCAATCTCATTTGGACTACAAGCAATGAAACTGAAGATTCGTTCAAACGTACAAGAAGCCAGTGACCTTGCTCAACCGAAACTTGCCTTTCTTCTCAATTTCAGACATTTTGTTTGCTTTGAAAAGAGAAGCTAGTATAGCAACATTGCAACGCGGCAAGATTACATTTTGCAGTGTTGCTCTATTGATTTCTCTTCTCAGATGTATCACTGAATAAACTTGTCTCGATTTCTTGGAGATTTTGTTTGCTTCTAACGGGTTGTGTAAAAGTGAGAAATTTGCCCTCAACTATAGTAATAATCTCCCAATTTCCACAGCCTAAAGCTTTTTCGAGCTGATGTGGTAAACTCGATTAGGCTAAACCTGCTTATTGTCGGAATGGTAGTCAAATCTGAAAGATCAACCATGCAGAGGTCGGACAATATACCACTCACTGTACTGTGTAACATTTAGTAGACTATTCAATGCAAGGAAAAAATAGTGAACCTTTCGATTCCAGAAACCGTAACTATTAGAACGTCTTTATCTGCTGCTTGTCTATACAACTGAACAGACGCACATTCGGAGGAGTCTTAGGCGGAACATCCGCTGTCCGCAGCAAACATCCGCGAGCCTCGTTTGAGGGCAAACCCTGAAAATGCCAAAATATGCTCCTACTTGATACATGTTTGATGCCACCGTTCCGTAGGCCACTTACCTGTAATGTCGAAATCGGACATCACAAAGACGGATTTGTGCTGCTCAGCCACGCGTTGTAGTCGTTGTATGATATCTTTCTTCTTTTGGGAAAATTTCACACCAGTCACATCAAATTGCATTTCTACTTCCAGATGCCCCTCCTTGTTTAATTTCATGTGGATCAACTTGTACGGTTTGTTTCTTCCTGACGCAAGGGAGTTCGCCTTAATGGAGAAAAACGAAAAGCATTGGAGTTCTGTTCTCAAAAGGTCAGGACGACATAAAAATGCATGTGTATGCGCTGTGATTAGTAATGCAAGCGGACTGAAGGAAAAAAACATTCACAGCAACCAGGATTACGTACACTTCACACAATAGCCTACTGCACACAACACACTGCACACCGCTTTAAATAAATGGGTATACATTCATCCATTTATGTGACCCAAGAGAGTATTATCTACTTCGGATTTCACGGAAATGGAATTAAATTGCTGGGGTGCAATTCACACACAAATACCATCAACTGCAATGGAACGGTAGGTAGATTGTCTGTTGAAGAGCGAGACAAATTCATACGTGTTTGGAATATGTGCAATCGGACTTGTCAAACAGCCGATTCTACCAAACAACACAAAAATGTGTACTCAACCGAATGACGGATTATTACGAAATGCGGATAAATCACTGACATTTCAATGCGAGTGTTCGCGCTGGGAATGATTCCCGAAATATTGTGTAGGTTGCATGTGTTTTGTTGGACTGTTCATATAAAACGTTTTCTTTCACTAAGAAGTGATATTACGGTGTACGACTCTATCTTATTGAATGAAGTAATCCAAGCCCGACGCAAACACGATGGCTAGCTTTTGGTTTGTACTGAATTGTCCCAAGCAGTATTAGCCACGACAAAATCAAACTCCGTCGATCTCAAGAATGATGCTCTCGGTTCTAAGTGCACTTTTTGGAAGCGTTTCTTCATGACACAGCTTACCACGAGAAGAAACGAAAGCGAGCCAAAGAAGGATCAAGGTACTTATCACGACTACACAAAGCATCTTGATGGAATAGTTATTATGAATCGATCGTGCGGATTTATGATTCCAGAGTGTGGTGTATACGGGGGATTGTTTGTACAACCTTTTCGGTCGTGTTGTAAGTTATCAACAAGGTGCATAACTTAACCCAACCGTTGGTGGCAAGCACGGTTCACGACGGTTGATATGTGAGTATACTTTGAACATAATCAGGGTGAAAGTCCTACCCTCATCTGTCTGTGTTCAATGTAAAACCTTCATATTTCCGAAAATTTCGCAAACACCATGTATGTTTCATCTTAGCAAAGGTATCGAGAGCTAAGGCACGGAAGGGACTAATAAGAAATTCGAGACCACACCAACAGCACTGATCATTTCACATGAAAATTACTCATCCAACTTACATAGGTATATGAATTCCACCAAGTATCATGCAAGCTAATGGTCACTACAGTTTCCCTCAAGATTCACCCGAGTCTACCGAATGAGCTTTTCAGGCTAGGTTAGTTGTTCGAATTTCTGAACTGAAAGTTTTACAATTTCCACATAACACCTCAATTTGCCAAACAACAATTTAAACAACAAAAACAATACTGCCCTCAGAAACTACCAGTTTGTGGCGTTTTACTCTACGATTCCTCACAACTGAACAACCGGCAAGATTTTTCTCACAAACGAGAACTCATGCAATAAGCAGTGTTATTTGGGCCTATCGCACGAAAGAATCCGTACTATCTATCGGAAAAATATCTAGTCTCTGGCCCAATTTATCCCCTGTAAGGATGCTTGCTGAGATATCTTTGACAAATAGAAGAATCCGCGTAAACCGTGTCACATGGCTGTTGACTGTTAAAAGTGCATAAAGAGTTCTCCATGTGTACTCACGTATTTTACTAATTCTCCATTCAGTGTTGTTTCTTGTTTGTCTGCTTCCGTCGTTTTATCCAAATTTTCCTCAACTGGTCCGGTGTTTACCAAGTTCACTTTCGCTTTCACTCCTAAAATGAAATGACCAGCATGAAAAAAACGACACAGTTTGATAGCTGTGATTCTAGGGTAAATTTTGTGTTATCAATGAACATCTGTCATACCGGCGGACACGCATTGCGGTGTGTGTGTGGGGGGGGGCATTTTTCTGTGTTTGTGTGTGGAGATCAGATATGAAACCTTAAGACGGATAACCAATTGCCCTGACGCATTTATTCATTGACTGAACTTGTGGATGCTGGGTTGGAGAAAAAAAGCAACGCTGTGTAGAAGACCTGGAATGAATGCATAACGTATTTGCTCCTCCACCCTGTGATTCGGAGTGCTGCTAGAAACACTAGCCAGTTATATATATATATATTCATTATCTATCGTATGGTAATTGTTGCTGTCTATTACATCACACAATGAATTCACATCGATAATGAATATCTAGTGGAAACATCTCCTACCACTGAAACAATTGGCCGAAAAAGAAAAAAAATATAAATTATGCATGCATAGAATTTGGTTAATAACTATTTGAATTTTCATTGTTTATTATTTATAACTATAATAATTATTATATACATGTATATAATTAGTTATAGTTATTATAATCATTCTATTATTGTGTAATCAGCGCTTTTGATAAAACAATTCAATTAACCCGTCGTAATGCGGTTCTCAATATTCATGTTTTTTACGCAGGTAATTTTGCTTCGGTTAAGCATCTATGTAGTGCGCGTTATAAACTCCCTGCAGATTCAGGCATAAAGCATATGAGCTGCTTGAATTCACTCTGCAACCCGCGTTCAGAACGCGGCCATGCTAGCTGAGAATTCACTCAGTCGAATCCGTGCATTTTAGTTAGAAATCTGTTGCTTACAAATGCAGTCATCAAAGTAAAAGAAACGAGAGTAGTTTTCGGGAAACCAAACTTGCCTATTACTTTGAATTTACGCGGTTCAACTGTGAAGGAAAGAAGGAACAGCAAATAAATCGATGGTGGACATCATGTTTATACATTGGCCTATCGGTTCACATACTGAGATATGAAGAAATCAAGAAACTTCATTGCATCCTGACATCAACTACTCATTTGTTGACCTTGATTTATCTAATATCCACCGGTTAGATAGAAACTGTTTTCTGCGACTTTTTGATAACCTATTTCAAATCGCTTTGGCGTTGGCCTACAAGGATTATCTTTCCCAAGCTCGTAGATCACATCTCACGTGTTTTGGTTGAAATTAAACTCTGTTTTCGTAATAAATACCGTTCTATTGTAGCACCGAACATTTACATCTCGCCCTCCAGTACGACGTTTTATGTGCACAAATGTACAGAAGTTTATTTTCTAACTATACATAACACTCCGTTTTTTACCTTGGGCGATGATTTGAACTATGCAGACGTTTACTTTTTTACCTGTCTCTCTCTCTTCACAATCGTATAAAATTTCTCATGAGAGAAAGGTGAAGCTTGACCTAATTTACAAATGACCCTGACCCGTTTGCTGCTAGCCGAAGAATCTCTCTGGAAAATCCCGATCATTATTTCATAAAAGTCTAATGGTACACTGACACGTACATCCACCCGGGGAGATTTTTCATGGTCTATGCGACCCGGCCCACTTGACCTCACTAAAAGAAATGGCTCTTGTACAGATTTTATCATTTATTTAACCCAAGTGTCTCGGTCGAGAGTGAACACCTCACAGGTAATTTAAACTTCTGCCTCGATCTCTGCCATCCCATGGCACCTATGTACATCAGCCCCGCCAGTTTTTCTTCCCCCACATTCAAGAACCTAAGAATATTCAAAGAACGGTCATAAACAAATCGGGACCGAGCTTCATTTAAAACATACCTCAGTGATGATCAAGACAGATCCAAAATATTTTCAGATTCTACATTATTACCGTACTTGGTGATCAAAATTGAGAGCAAATCTAGAGTGCAATGAAAAACTCCATGGAACAAAAACCAAAGTCCGCAGACCTCAACCGAAAACAGGAAAACTCAACTTATTCTTTTCCACGTCAACTCAAATGCGAGTATCGGAAACATATTTCCCTGCAGTTGACCCTCAAGACGTTTACCATGTTAAAAGTGTACCCAGGTGCGGCCACAAAAGATGTGCCTCAAAACATCAAAACTTCCAGTCCTGACGAACCATTTCTTATAATCTAGCTGAGCCACATTTTCAACCATTGCTTCGGGGAACAAAAAGATGTCGAATTTTGGAGACCCGCGTGCATCATACCAGTCATAAGAATGGAAACTGAAAAATTTTGACCAGTCACCTGCACTTCTGTTTTATTAAATGTTAAGACAATTATTCCTAACACTGATCAGTTAGATCTCAGTCCATTCGCTTATGGCAAACAAAGACCTACCATAGATGAGCTTGCGCATTTGATAAGCTAAGTTTTGTAACCCCTAAATACGCAGGGCACAGCAGTTAATGTGTATTTCCTCAACTATAGTATTGCTTTTAATTCTGTCAACATGGGCAGCCTTTTGCTCGTACTCCTGGATGCTGGATTGTCTCCACTTCAAGATTATTTTGCCAGTATAACACATTTCAATAAGTTTATTGAAAGAATTTCTGATTTGTCATCGGTCAATGAAGATGTGCTCCAGGGAGCATTACTGTCTCTTTCTTTTCTCTTATCATGTTCCAGAACTAACCATTCAACCAGATGATCTTCTCATCAAATTTTATGATGATTATATCCTCATGGGTTCCCATTCCCAAGGTGAGCTTTGTGTCTCACGGCTTGAAACCAATGTATCTGCTTGGAACTTGTGACATTCGTATTGCAAATAATCCATCAACGCCGCCTAATGTAGGAATCTCACGTGCTCACTGGTCCAAGTTGAACGACTACATTGTTTTATATTGGTAACCAGTCCATTCAGCCAGAAGGTACATGATGGTATCATCTTCCAAGATTTCAAGTGAACCTCTTATTTGAACGATTGTTTTTTTTTTAAAATCTCTCACGTCCTTTCTTTAGACATTCCACTGAATTTACTCATCCGTTTTTTATCTTTTTCTCGTTACCCATCTTCGTTTTGCTCCCCAGTTACAGGTCGTTCAGTCAAAGACTAAGTAATTCTGCACCGGTTTTGTAAAACTATTTCATTGTACACGCGCCGCTTCCTATTGTACACTTGCTCAGCAGTAATGGCGACAGAGATTTTAACCCAAGTTTCAGATCCGAACAACGTTGGGGGTGTATCAAAAACCGATGCGCCATGTGATTTGTTTTATATAAGTTGCAATTTTGAAAACATAGCGATGTGGGTACAGGTGAAAATAAGCCGACGTTCCGGTTACCGTGGGTAACCTTTATCAAGGCGATTTTACAATCGAGTGTAATCGAACTGATATAAACTAGGCCCAACCGAGCTTGATGCAAAACCGTAAATAGTGTTCATCAACACTTTCACACCGTCAGATTAGTTAATTTTTGTATTGCACACCGCTAATATCCTCCATTCGGAATAGTCAACCAAGTCTCTCTCTGTGGTTGTCGAGCCCATAATGAACTGATCCACTTTCACTGAAGATAACACTTGAACGCACGTGAATTGGCGAATCTGTTCAATTTTGGTTTGAGATGGTTGACATAGTGGTAACACATGCCTGTGGTGTGATAGGTTTGGGGTTCAAAGACCTAACGGGACTTTAGTAATGCACTGCTGATGAGCTCTAAAAAGAGCGAAACTCCAATCTAGTGCTTCCGGGTGTGTGATTGACCGAAAGAACTGAGAGTCTTGCGTGAAGAGGAAGTCCCAAGGCTAATCATCCTGAATCAATGTCGAGTCTCTCACTCTACTACCCACAAGAAACTGTGAGTTAAATGTGAAATATTTTCGGTTTAACTCGGCATAATTGCATAAACTCAAACATGTCCCCCGGTAACATTACAGTTGTGCGACGCGACAGTTGATGTTGCGTGTGTCCCTCAATGCACTTTTTCAATCATTACCACTCACCGCCTAAAAACCAGGACATTGATGTCGGATGAAATTGTTTTGCACAGTCCAGTCGGTTTCAGCGGATGCTTCTTTCTCAACTCAGTAGCAGGGACCGATAAATACTAAAACCTATAATGAGTGCGTATTGCAATTAGTGAATGCTGGAAACGGAAACACAATGCGATTCGCGAAAGAAGTTCTCGTGATAGGTATGACACACGGTTCTTTCAGCAAAGATCTAATACCACTTAGAGCAATTGCAATATGCCGAAGTTTTGTAAACAAGCAGTCACCCATTAATTATTTTTTTCTATTTGCGTATGAATAGTAATGGGGTGTGGGGTGGGGGGGGGAAGCAAAAAGTATGATATAATTTATTTGAAAAGGGGCATGGAGATCTGTAACTTCAGCATGGTTGATGTATGTTAATTGGTGCCAGTGTTTTCAAGTCACCTTTACACTACCGTGTACCGGTTTGGTGAGCAAAGTCAACAAAATCTTTGCACATACCATCATCTTTCAACGCAATTTTTTCTTGATTGTAGAACGCCTCCAAACCTCAACAAATTGGTACATTCCTAATTTAAAGGTCCATGTAGTCCAAGTGTGCTTGAAACTGTGTTTAAACACCAATTAGTATTGTCTCTTAACTATTTTTTACTGTAACAAATTAAAGTAAAGCAGAACGCTGGCCTACTAGTCGCGTTCATTTCAGAGTAATTCACCATCACCTCTGTTTGAAAAAAGAAGCGCAAACGGATAAGGTGAACGCACGTCGTTCGCAAGTTGTCCTCATTCTGTGTGTATATAATGTGGAAAATCTTTCACACACTGATCAAATAATTCCACAATCCCCCATATGGAGCTTTCTCTGAAATGTCGCGTAATCACAAGTTTGTAAACACAAACAGTCTGATCTACCAGGGCAACGAAATCGATGATCAAATTCCTTAGTGATGGACGATCACATGACGAGGAGGGTAACTTCTTCTGTATTGTTCCGTCAAAACATAACGGGGGTCAAATGGATGGGCTTGAAGAAAGCTTAGTGATAAAATGCACTGCACCAGTGGTTGAATTGTACAACATATTCAATGATTTTGAATTGTAAGCGTTCACCCTTTTACGACACACCAATCCCTCTGATAAACTACGCCACCAGGAGCCGACTAGATCATCTATATCAGTTTACTAGGAATACCTCCAATATACTATTCCCCGTGTCATCCCAAACTATTAATCCAGTGCGAAATTCGCATCAGTGCCAATGAGAGCGCAAATAGGGACTATGATACTTTCTGATTCGGCGAGTGACTGGGTTTTCAGGAAAGATGACTTGTCGATAAAGGTTAGTAACTAGGCAAAAACCAATGCCATAAGCAACCGTGAATTGAAAAACTGATTGCATTCTGTACTGATTTTTCGATTTATTCGTCAGGCAGTATTTTAGTTGGCACTTTATAGGATAGTTCATCTTCGATGAGAAATAGGCTAGTAACTATTTGTTTAGAAAACGAATAACCGTTGCATATGTCGTCCAACCCGTATGGTAACTGCGATATTTAAACCCGTCAGTCAAACAATTATTCCACGAGCTTGTTGTGAGAAATAACGGAAATTTTCTTAATCTCTGAAATATACCCTATAGGATATCATTATGTCTCAAACAAAAATGCATCGGGATGGTTACAGAATCACATGTTGTTGTTGTTAGGGTTTGTAGGGGACTCTATTGTGGAGTGTTGTTTTTATAGACGCTTCGTAGCATGAATGGGCAAACGCATCACTGCAACTTCGCGTAAACAACAAAAGGAACATCTTTATTGTTTTTTGTTCGGTGGTTCCTATTGGCTCCTGCGTTTATTCTATTATTAATTAGTTCATGTATTCTTCCTGTCTTCTATCTTGTCTTCAGTGGTTATTACATCATGTACACATATATGCTCTATATGTATTTTATAATCAAGGATTCATGTCTGAATGAAGATATGATATGCATAATACATTCTACAAATGGTAATTTAGCACACTTGCAAACTACAGGAGATATTTGCACCTTCGGTAGGTGAAGAGAAACCCCGATAAAAACAAACTAGTGAGACTGGTGTTAGAATCATATTTTGGTGACTCATAAACGTGCAAAGAGTCTACAACGAGAGTGTGATGAAACATAACTCAATCATGCGTTGTGTTGACGTATAAAATAGTAGCAGACAGGCAAACCGCACAATGAAGTGGGTAAGCCGTCGATTGAGTCAAAACCACCTTATAGTGGAGCCCAAATTGCTATTAAGCGCATTGAATGG